ACATCCAGCGCCACTTTGGCGGTGTCTGCCTGCGCTCGTCGTAGGTAGGCACCGTCCCGGGGGTCCCTCTGTGGGGATCCCTGTGTGCACCCGTCACTCCCTTGGTGGTTCTCGTTGTGTCTGTTGATGGCTTGACTTGTAGTTTTCTTGTAATTTTGCTTTAATTTTTGCTGTATTTGTGTGGTATTTTTGCTGAATTTTTGTAAAGTCCTTTGTATGATGCCTTTGTCTTCTGTGGTCGGTTGTTTTCTCAATCCGACGTTGTGTCTCGTTGGATGTGAGCGTGCCGTGGTGTTCATTGTGCTTGTGCTGCGATGGCTTGTACTTGTGATGTGTGACTGCCTTTTTATGTGTCTTGTGTTTAAAATGGCCGTATCTCTGGTTATACTTGGTCGTTTTGTACGATTTTTGTTTCTATGTGCGTGATTCTTCGCGCTTGTACTTCTTGGCATGATAAAAGCCAGTGAATGTAACTTGTTCTCTTGTGTTGTTTTGCGTGACGTCGTGATTTTGATGTAGGGGTTGCACAGCTTTGCTTTCAGCTCTGAGGTTCAAACACCTAATTTATTATTTTCTGCCCGAGCCATGCTCAGCCAGGTCATTTGTTAGCTCCTCTTCTGCCTGGGCCAAGCTCGGTCCGGTTCTGATCTGCGAGAGCCGGATATGCGAGCTCCTTCTCTACCTGGGCCATTCTTCGCCAGCTCCCGATCCGCGAGACCCGGATCTGCGAGCTCCTTTTTCGTCATATCATGAACAGCAAGGTCCCGATCCGTGAAGCGAGCTCCTTTTCTGCCCGAGCCATGCTCAGCCAGGTCATTTGTTCGCTCTTCTTCTGCCTGGGCCAAGCTCGGTCCGGTTCTGATCTGCGAGACCCGGATATGCGAGCTCCTTCTCTGCCTGGGCCATTCTTCGCCAGCTCCCGATCCGCGAGACCCGGATCTGCGAGCTTCTTATTCGTTTTAATTTTGCTTTAATTTTTGCTGTATTTGTGTGGTATTTTTGCTGAATTTTTGTAAAGTCCTTTGTATGATGCCTTTGTCTTCTGTGGTCGGTTGTTTTCTCAATCCGACGTTGTGTCTCGTTGGATGTGAGCGTGCCGTGGTGTTCATTGTGTTTGTGCTGTAATGGCTTGTAGTTGTGATGTGTGACTGCCTTTTTATGTGTCTTGTGTTTAAATTGGCCGTATCTCTGGTTATACTTGGTCGTTTTGTACGATTTTTGTTTCTATGTGCGTGATTCTTCGCGCTTGTACTTCTTGGCATGATAAAAGCCAGTGAATGTAACTTGTTCTCTTGTGTTGTTTTGCGTGACGTAGTGATTTTGATGTCGGGGTTGCACAGCTTTGCTTTCAGCTCTGAGGTTCAAACACCTAATTTATATCTTTATTCGTCAGGTCATGAACAGCAAGGTCCCGATCCGTGAAGCGAGCTCCTTTTCTGCCCGAGCCATGCTCAGCCAGGTCATTTGTTCGCTCTTCTTCTGCCTGGGCCAAGCTCGGTCCGGTTCTGATCTGCGAGACCCGGATATGCGAGCTCCTTCTCTGCCTGGGCCATTCTTCGCCAGCTCCCGATCCGCGAGACCCGGATCTGCGAGCTCCTTATTCGTCAGGTCATGAACAGCAAGGTCCCGAGCCGTGAAGCGAGCTACTATTCTTCCCGAGCCATGCTCAGCCAGGTCATTTGTTAGCTCCTCTTCTGCCTGGGCCAAGCTCGGTCCGGTTCTGATCTGCGAGACCCGGATATGCGAGCTCCTTCTCTGCCTGGGCCATTCTTCGCCAGCTCCCGATCCGCGAGACCCGGATCTGCGAGCTCCTTATTCGTCAGGTCATGAACAGCAAGGTCCCGATCCGTGAAGCGAGCTCCTTTTCTGCCCGAGCCATGCTCAGCCAGGTCATTTGTTAGCTCCTCTTCTGCCTGGGCCAAGCTCGGTCC